TCCAAATCAACATGTGTACCCCAGCTAGTCTGAAATTTTCCTTCCCCTTCCTTCCCATCCTTGGCAACCAACAAAGTGAGTTTCCTTTCCTAAGTAAACCTTTCCTTGACTTTTTACAATAACAGGCTTATACAATATTTGTCCTTCTGCAATTGATCTATTTCACTCAGCGTAAGGTCCTCCAAGTTCACCCATGTTGTGAAATGACTTGTGTATTCTTCATTATTCTTTAATGTAGCACAGTATTCCATTGCGTGAATGTACCATAGTTTCGTTATCCATTCATCCGTTGTTGGGCATTTAGGTTGTTTCCATCCCTTTGCTACAGTGAATTGTGCTACAATGAACATATGCTGTACATATCCATAACTTGACTTTCTTTTAAAGGACCATTTTAGATTTATGGAAAAATTGAGCAGATAGATTTCCTACATAACCCCTCCCATGGGCAGTTTCTTCTATTATTAACATCTTACATTACTGTGGTATATTTTTTTAAAATTAATGAACCAATACTGATAATATGTTATATTGACTTAAGTCCATAGTTTTATATTTGTTTAATTTTTACTTAATGCCATTTTGTTTGTTTGTTTCAGGGTACTAAGTTACATTTAGTTGTCATGTTTCCTTCAGCCCCTTTTGACAGTGACATTTTCTTACTTTCCTTGTTTTTCATCACTTTGAGATTTTGAGTAGTACTGGTAGGGTATAATATAGAATGTCCTTCTGATGGAATTTGTCTGATGTCTTCCCATAATTAGACTGTGATCATGTGTTTTGGGGAGGAGGATCTATGAGGTCAAGCGACAATTTTATCACACGATATTAAGGGTGCATACTATCAATGTGATTTATGACTGACCTTGATCACTTGGCTGAGGTAGTGTTGCTCAGGTTTGTCCCCTGAAAAGTTACTCCCTCCTTTCCTACCTTCCCATCTATACTCTTTGGAATGAAGTCACTATAGCAGCCTACATTTAAGGCATAGGGAGTTATGTTCCTGCTTTTTCTTTTTTTTAAAAAAAAAAAATAAATAATGAGCTTATGAGGAAGGTGGGGTAAGAATTATTATGCTTCCCTTTCCTATTTTACATTTGGGAAAAAACAAACAAACAAATATGAAGTTCAGGAAGATTAAGTGACTTTCTGGGGTCATGGCAAATAGTGGAAGAACCATATTAGAAATTATGTGTGCTCTCTACTGTGTTTTCCAAGACTAGGATCTCCCTGCTGGCCCCAACATTATTCTAGTCTTTTCTTAGTTTTCTACCACTTTATATTCTGCACATTTCTTTGTTTTTGTAGTTATTACTATGTTACAATTGAGAAACTTCTTTATTCATGATCATGGTCTTCCCTGCTTTCTTCTCCCTTAGATTTTATCTTTATATGTAGTTCATTTTTTATCACTGATAGTTTGTCCAAAATCTGATGAAATTTCATTAATAGTCTAAGGCACTCAAACAATGAGTATTTGCAGTTTATGCGCATATCCATATGGATCTTGAGTTTGTCCTGCTCCTTTCATGAACTTAAATATCTCAAAAGCATTCTAACTAATACTCAAACTATTTTAGAATATCTCTATTCTTATCCCATCTTTAATGATGACAGTATTCTTCAAAATATTATGGCTAGATGGCTTTCATATTTTTCCCCAAAGCCAGGAATTTTCCTTTCAGACCAAATACCCCTTGAGAGAGGGGGAAAATATAAATAAGATAAAGCTAGAATAAATACACAGCCTCTTTCAGAAAATTTAAGGTTTTTAATCCTTGAGAATCAGTTAATAATCCTCTCCTGTGTTTACTGCTTATGCTCAACCCTTCTCCAATACGGTGATTTTTTTTCCTGTATAATGATAAAGCTAAATGAAATTTTGGGGTACAGATGTATATTTCATGAGGGATCCACCTTTTCTAAACATTTCTAGGGTTGGGCGTAGGTCACAATTTGGAAAGAAAAAATGGAGACATTATAAATTCCATTTAATGTTTTTGTGCAGAGTAGAGGCATGGAATGTGTACATGTATTTTGTACCTTCAGCTTTAACCTAATACAAATAGATTCAGTTCTGTCTACCAATACAATTAGGAAGAACATTGTGCCCATATCTGTTTGTTCTTTCACAGTGTATGTATACCTTAGCTTGGGGATTAAGTGAGTAAGTGTGTGTGTGTGTGTGTGTGTGTGTGTGAGGTACTTGAGAGGCTCAGGCTATTAACCTCCCTGAATTAGAAACCATCTATTGAGAGAAACAGAAATGTACTTAAATCAGCGATTTCAAGAAAGCCATGACCTAGTCTTGGCTTATCTTCTATTTTTCTCTGAGTCATTTTGACTTTAAAGTCATTTAATTTTCATTCCTCACTTTCAAGATAAAAACATAATACTGAATTCTTTCAACCTCATCTTCATGGTTGATTTATGTCAATATAACTGAAAAATAATAAAATCTTTTTTCACTGAATTAAGGACTGAATTAAGGTAATTAACAGTTACCTTGGGGAGACTTTAACGTGTATTGCAGTCAGACAGTAGGAAAAGTGCAAAGCTGAATGACTGGACTCTTGTTTTGTCTCTAAAACAATAGGTTATAAGTCCTAGGTTGATTTTTGAAAAGTCCTAAGGCATAAAGAAAATATCAGGAAACTTCGTTGTCATTTAACAATCCAAATGAATCACATTACATGCATTGTTACAGTACTCATATTTTATATTAATTGAAAGGTGATGGCATTGTTTAAAAAGGAGGTCTGGTGGCACAGTGCCTGAGGCATTTGACTGCTAACCAGAAGGTTGGCAGTTCAAGCACACCAGCCTCTCTACAGAAGGAAGATGGGGCAAGCTACTTCTGTAAATATTTACTCTCTTGGAAACCCAATGGGGATTGTTATGAGTCAGAATCAAATCTATGACAATGTTGTTGTTGTTATGTGCAGTGGAGTGGAACCGACTCAAAGCGACTCCTTCTTGGGTTTCCCAGGTGGTATCACTAAGAAAGTAGATTGCCCCATCTTCCTTCTGAGGAGCGGCTGGTGGGTTTAAACTGACAGCCATCTGGTTAGCAGCCACATGCCTTAGGCGCTATGCTACCAGAGCTCCCCGATGACAGTAGATTTGGTGTTTTTGGTTGTGTGGCACTGTTTAGTACATTCATGGTTTGCCAGATAATGAGCCAGATACTTCCAGTGATTGCATCACACATGTGTGATGGCTGTCCTCAACCAACAATTTCCTGTCTGCCCTTCCATAGAAAGAGACGTAGAACTCATGAGAAGTGCTTATGACTTTTAAAATATAGTAATCAAGATGTCAGACTAGAGTATACAATCACTCCATACACTGGTCATTCTAGTTACTTGCTACTTTGCTCTCTTACTGCATGAAATAACAAATTTAGTCAGGGTTGAATTATAAATAAATTTTATTTTCTTTCTGTCTCTCTATATGTGTGTCTAGATTTGTATCTATCTTTATATACATACACACTCACATGGAGATTTTTTTATTGCAATTGTAATATATGTTCAAAATAAAAAGAAAAATACACAGTTCAGATGGAGATAAAATGGAATGTATTATCTAGTCACCCTGGGAGCTCTGGTAGCATAGTGCCTAAGGCACCTGACTGCTAACCAGAATGCTGACGGTTCAAACCCACCAGCCACCCCTCAGAAGAAAGGTTGGGCAATCTACTTGCGTAGTGATACCACCTCGGAAACCCAAGGAGGGATCGCTATGAGTTGGGTTTGACTCGATGGCACATAACAACACCAACAACAACATCTAGTCACCCAGGGATAACTGCCTTCAACAGTTCGGTGTACATCCTTGTATACATTTATATGTGTCTTTCCATCATCTCTCCATATACATCTATCTTTCATAAAGTAAAAATGCCATATAGTTTTTTAATTTCTTTTACTTATATAATACAGCTTTTCTTGTCACTAAATGTATATCTCTGTCATTATTTTTAGGCAGCTTTTTTTGTTTCTTTTTTTTAAAGAACTCTTCCTTACATTTTTGGATCATGGGCTCCATCTGTCAGTTTTGGACTGATATAAGAACCCAGAAAACAGTAGCTATTTAGTCAATGTCAATTTATGATGCCCCGACTCAACAACCCCATGTGTGTCAGAGTAGAACTGTGTTCCATTGAGGTTGGTGGTTTGAGTCCATCCAGTGCGTCACCCACCTTTCTTCTGTGGCACCACTGGGTGCACTCCAGCCACCAAGCTTAGTTAGCAGCTGAGCGCATTCACTGATTTCACTACAGGGAGTACAAGCACCAGGAAAGGGTTATCCAATTCAAAAGTAAAGAGGTAGAATCACTGTAGGTGAGGAGGAAGAAAGGAGGTCCAGCTCAGAATGTCCTTCATCTTAGAGACAGCACCTGTACCTCTCCTCCCAACCCCCACAACCCTTTTTACACAGACTATGTAGAAGTTTCCCTAGCACTGTCTTAAATGTTTTTACACAGTGACTGGTTCTCTCCAGGGTCATATAGAAAAAGGGTACTGCCTTCCTTAGAGTCATGGTGTTGAGTTGGAGTGGAAAAGGTTGTTCTGGTCATGGCAAACTTGGGGAAAATTGACAGAGGCTCCAGTCAGTAGATGGTGGCAGCAGCAGCAGTAAAATCAATGAGGGGAAAAGGTTGCCTTACCAATATAAGGTTGATGACACCAACAGTTCTTCCAAGAGCTATTTCCCCTATCCCTTTTCTGGACTACTGGAAGGTGCAAAATCTGGGATTCCAGCAAGGATACTTTTTCTTATTACCCTTTAAAAAACATTTACTGGACGATTATCTAAGAAGAAAACCACTTCCAATTGCTCTCATTTCCTTCCAGCTGTTAGGCTAAGCCACAGATGATATTATATAAGCATAAGGCAATTATTAAATCATTTTGATCTGTTGTTGAAAATGTTAATGTGCATATTATAAAAAGGAATATTTCCTTTCAAATAAATTGTACCTACTTCTCTTTCAGAAATAGATGACAAGAGGGTGACCAACACACAGGGGGAAGTAAGTTTTCTTATATTTTGAATAAATATGTGTTCAGTTCAAACAATCATCTTTACTGAAAGTGATGTATATGATATAAATGTAACTGAGGTGTAAAATACATTTACTTTCTTTTCTTGACAAATAGTAGCTGATGTTATTATAATCCTGTCTTTAGATTACCTTGGTTCTCTTAACTATGAAATGCTAACAACTTTTGCCAAAACTTTTAAAAGGGCAGAGAACATAGGTATTTTAAGTTGTCAATACATCTAATCTACTTTCATAAATCTAAAGTGAGTTTTTTTTTTTTTTTTATTTTTGGAATTTTTAAGAAATAAAAATAAAGCATGACTTTAGTGACAGGATTGTTTTTGTTCAGTTTTGTTCAATTTTATGATGACCACAGGTTTGGGCCAGGCAATATTGGCATCTTGAAGCTAGAAGACAGTGGGGGGGATATGCAACTTTGAAGGGTCTTTGGGTGTGTGGAACCAACAGCAGATCATGAGGGAAGAATTTGGGGGAACTGAGGTCTTCCAAAACTGGGTAACAAGATATAAGAAATTCTCCAAGAAA